AGGGGCAATCATCTGCCATGACCGAATGGAGGAGGATCAACAAATAAGACAAAACACAAAACTACAGGCAAGAGCAGAGAAAAGTTACAGCAGTGCCATATAAACGCACTAGGAGTGAAAAGAGGAGAATTGGTGCATCATGGGAAGTCGCCCAGCTGGTTGGGCCTACAGCAGCACAGCTAATGCCACAGTCACATTAGAACACAGCAACCAATCGGTCTGAATTTATAAGTCAGACAGCAGTTATTTGCTAACCTTTGTCTGTCTCCCACCAGCTTACCTTTACAACTGGCCACCCAAAGGTTTAGGATGGTTTAGCATGTGGCACATTCAATCTCTGGGCCACCAGCTGCAACTATTTGCAATCAGTTGCCAAATGCAACCACGAATTGTTCCTAGTTGCAATGAATTAGCCATTCATTTTTTACTCTAGTGTGATTGATTCATAAATGATCATCCAGAATCTTCATGAAAAATGAAAGCTTTGAGTCTAATCTTACATGTAGAGAGGGTGTATGTCTCTGAGCTGGTTGCATAGGACAGAGGCCTAACACCTGAATCCTCTCTCTAACATTGTACTTTTAGAAACTCTAGGAACCAACAGCAAGCCTGCAGTCTGAGAGCAAAGTGCTCAGGTTAGCTAAAATGCTATTATGAGGCCTTTAAGGTATGACAGGGCCAGATTACTCAGCACTTCTCTCTTTGTAGTTCTCTGTTAATACACTTCCTGCAGGATTTAGCAGCACTAGCCATGTAATCAATTCAGCTGCTCTTCATTAGAGTTAAGATGATGTTACATAGAGGTCAAGTATTGTAGCCATAATGACAGGCACTAGTTAAGTCAGATGAGTCCAAAGGGCATTGTTGTATTTAACTTTATAACAGAGAGTCGGGAAGTTCAAATTAAAAAGAAAAATGCAGGAAAACAGAGTGAGGCAGGTCCGAGAAGAGAAGCTGATAGCTTAAAAGGCTTCAATTAAATATATAGAAACCAGGTCAAATATTCAAAATATACTGTAATGACGATGTTACCGTCTACTACAGTAGGGGGCGACTTGCACCTTTAGTCTAACCACAGTAAACCTAAAGACGAGGAAGTAAAGTTGCCCATGAGCAGTCACGTAATTTCCTGCAACCTGTGGCGGTAACTGTCGCCGTTTTAGTTTTCTCACAGCGGTAAGAATATTTTCTAAAGTTAC